ATAGATAGATGATAGATGATATGGATGATAGATAGATGATAGATAGATAGATAGATGATATGATAGATAGATAGGATATAATGATAGATATAGATAGACATGTATAGATAGATAGATAGATGATAGATAGATGATAGATAGATAGATAGATGATAGATAGATAGATAGATAGATAGATAGATAGATGATAGATAGATAGATAGATAGATAGATAGATAGATAGATAGATAGATAGAGATTACCTGCTTTTCATGCTTTGAAAGACATGGGACACCCCCCAAAAAAAACATCAGGCATAAATGTTCCTGTGAACAGGAATGTATGAAGGGCAAATCCACCCCATATATAAAACGTGTAACTCCCACCCCAGATTCTTGGGAACTGTAGTTTTCCCCTTACAGAGCTCCCAGCATTCTTAACAAACTCCAGTTCCTTGGATTCTTGGGTGTGTGTCATGTGCTTTCAATGTGTGTTGATTGTGCTTGAAATACACATTATGGGTCTTCCCCCTCCCTGTACACTGACCTTGGCACAAAGAACACAACTGTCTCTACCGAGGGAGCCTTTGTGAGTACAGCTGTATGCATGCAAACTTCCAATGACATGAAACCCTGCTGTTGCCACACTGGGACTCCATAATGGGGCAGAAAGCATAGGCGCCGACTCCATGGGGCCTGAGGGGGCTCGAGCCCCCTCAAAAAATTTTTTGGGGGGGCTCAGCCCCCCCAATAATCTCGGGCGCCCTTCCAGCAGAGCGCCGCCGCCATCCCCCGCCTCCTCCCCACCTGCTCCCTCGCCAGCCAGCCAGCCGCGCGCCCTAGTCGGAGAGCCCCGGCCGTCCCCTGCGAGATTAGGGAATCCCCGGGGGCGGGGGCTCCTGCCTCGCTGCTTCGCAGCACCACCGCCACTGCCAAGGCACTGCTGGGGGGAATTTCCTTCCTCCTGGCGGTTTCAGCCCCCGCGAGAACGACCGGGTACCAATCGGCTGGCTGGGGGTGTGTGGCTTGCCCTATTTAGGGCCGGAGCGGAGGGGGCTCGCCCTCTCTTCTCCGGCTAGCCCCACGTTTCCCGCATATCAGCTGTTCCGGAGCTGATTAATAGGCGCAGCACGCTCTCCCCTATTCGCTCACGAGGAGGCGGCGCCACTTTATTTGCATATTCATGAGGTTATTTATTATTCATGAGCTTTCCCGGGCCCCCCCCAATATTTTTTATAAGTCCGCGTCCCTGGCAGAAAGTATGCCAGCCCTGGGAGCGGCATACTTGTTTTCCACTGGGATCAATGGGAAGTCTCCCCCCCCTTAGAAAACCAATGGGAGAGCATAAAGAGGGGACCCACATGTGTTTGTTTGCACACTTATTTCTTCTGCTGCTCTTTTAGATTGCACTGCCCATGTTCCTGTCCTCCACAGCAGGGCTAATTCTCGCATCCTTATTTACATTCCCCAGCCATGGAGTGATGGGCAATGAAGGTAGAGAATGGGTGGCTTTGCATTTCAAAGGTACAAGGAATAATAGGGCCAATTTAACCCACTCATCTTGTATCTGGATTTCTTCTTGTGTTTCAATACATTTGAACTTCTACTTACCACCGCCTCTTCTTAAGGTCGCTACAAGTCACAACTGCAAACCTGGAAGTAACCGGTGGGTTTGCCGCTGTTTGCGTATGCGCAGCAGTGGTGATCACCATTCGCACATGTGCAGAAGCGGGCAATCACCACCTGCACACAATGGCGCCTCTCCCAGCGACCCATTTTGACCTCTGGACAGACCTTCAGAACAGATTATGGTTGCAAATAGAGCTTCCACTGTATATGGATGAGCAATGTGCCTGTTGCTGTTTTTTTTAAGACACACTAGATTTTTGTGTGTGCTCTAAACCAATTGAAGATCAGCCTTGAATTCGGCAGAATGGCAAGCTGTCCACATGGCAATCAGACATTGCCAGAGAAAACATTAGGTAGACTGTAGTGAAAGTATGCATTGCTCTGCTTTGATTGCAGTGCCATGTATTAAAGGAAGCCGTAATCAGCAAACCCATGTCATCTCTTGGAGTAAGAGAACCTTGAACGGGGCCAGGGAGATCATCACCATTCGAAACATGAAGCCTCATTCTAGGAAAATGATGCTAGCTCAGAATGCAGAGCTGGGCTGAGGCCCAGGATCCTGGCACCGACCATGCAGTCGAGGGAGAGAAACATCTGTCAGCAAGCTAAACTGCGGGAGATGAAAAGGCAGCCTTTGGCCCAGGAGAGCACTGCGGCGCTGAGTGAAGGAGCCAACTGAAACAGGGAAAGGGAAACGGAATGGAGGCAGTGGGCCTGCCCAACTGTGCGCCTTAAGGGGGAAGGATAACCTATTTGTGTTGAGATTTTCTGTGCGTGGATACATTCAGTTACAGTTACAGCTAAGCACTGCAAAAGCACTGTTGACAGGGAAACACCTGCTTGCAGAAATGGCTGCAGATTATATATCTGCACGCATAAACACAGATGACATTTTAGTTCTCTAGTGGCCAACAGGGGCTGAATTATGGTGGTTAGTTATATTGAAATAAATATCCGATAGAAAAGTGCAATGGTAAAGCAACAACAGGACAGGCAGGAAATGTCAACAATTCTTTCAAAATTGTATTTCATTGTTTCATTATGTTTGCAAACAGCTTTGAGTTTTTGTGTCGATCCAGTGGCATATACATCTTGTAATATATTACACTGAGACTAAATGTGGTATGTTGGTGACCCTGCAGAAGGATAAAGAGGAACAGCGTGACATGGAACAACCACTCCTAATATCCCTTTTCTGCACCACCACCCCACCCAAGCTCAGTTATGCAAAGCCTTTGATTTCAAACAATCCAAAGACTAGGAGCAACCAAGGGTCAGTGGGGAAGAGGAGCAGACACCAGCTAGAGACTGTGAAACTAGCCAGTGGCCATCTGAGATTCTGATCACATTCCATATGTGAAGTTCTAGAGGCCGTTTGTCCTCCATTTGGAGCCCAAAGGCCTTAAGGTTAAGTACTGCATAGCACAAAGCACACAGAAGTATGTGCACATCACTAAGTACGTATGATCGTGGTCTCTAAATCTCTGCCTTAAATTGTGACTGGGACTTCCCCCCTCACTGTTCTGATCTAGTCAGCAGTAGAAGGAGATGTTCTGAAGGACATTTGTGCTATGCAAACTGCAGACTGTGCAGCCCAGGACTGGTCAATGAGCAAAGACCCCACAAAAGCTGTTGAGGCACCATTTCACAACATTTTGTTGCAGATCCCATTAGTATTACTGCATGAAGCAGGTTGTTCGCCTTTTCTCAGTGAGTTTTTAAATTGAATTTTATTGAATTCCCCCCCCAAGCAAAAACAAATAGCTAAACAATGAAAAATAAGCCATAATAAATCAAATCAACACATTCTGTACATACATTTGGGGGGGGGAGTGAGGGGGAAGCAGGTGATGGTCCAGACCAAACCATTGCCCAGACATTCAAGCAAATAAATCTGAGAAGGAGAGTGTGTACAGTGGTACCTCGGGTTAAGTACTTAATTAGTTCCGGAGGTCCGTTCTTAACCTGAAACTGTTCTTAACCTGAAGCACCACTTTAGCTAATGGGGCCTCCTACACCCGCTGCATCGCCGGAGCACGATTTCTGTTCTCATTCTGAAGCAAAGTTCTTAACCTGAGGTACTATTTCTGGGTTAGTGGAGTCTGTAACCTGAAGCATATGTAACCCGAGGTACCACTGTATCTGAAAACTTCCATTTCTCTTGTGTTTATGGAAGGTCACCATCCTTGGTTGCCAGATGAATCATATCTTCTGTCTATGGTACAATTGGTAGGGGCAGACCTCTTGTCCCAGTATTGAAGTGTTAGATGTTTAGCTACCCTGAGTGCCCCCTGCCAGTTTGATTGTCTCTCTGTCAAGTTCCAAAGGACCAGAACATAATTCAGGAGGACATTAACATCTGTAAATCTCAAGGAGGTGACAAAAACCATATTTATATGCCTGATGACTTCTAAGCAAAAAACTTTGACTTTAGGATGATATCATCATCAAACCTTTTATTGGCATCACATACAAACATCCATTGTGAATCAATACAGAATTACCCCCTCCCCAATGTCACAGAACATTTGTCAAATGAAAAGAGGCAAAACAGTCTAGGAGATCAGACGTCTGCAATGTGTTTCTGCGACAAAAAAACAAATAAAGATATTTAGCCACTAACTTGGTGAGCTCCTGGTCATTCCCCAGTAATAGAAAACGTATGACCTCCAACTCTGGTTTCTATTTGGGGATGCAGCATTGATCTAGAAACTGCTGGTGGAGATCAGCATATAGTTTACATTTTAGAATCATATGAGTAAGAGTTTCCAGCAGGTGGTCTTCACATGGGCAAATTCTTTCTGCTTCCACCATTCCCGAGAACCTTCCCCAAAGGAGGTTTGATGGATTTGAATTAAACCTGGCCAGCAAAAATGCCCTTCTTTCGTGAGGGATAAGCAGAAATTCAAGATAATTGTGATTAGTTTCATATGCCCAAGAAAGTTGAAAGTAAAGAGGGGAGCATGTTTTCTCTGCTGCTGCTGTTAGTTCCTTGGCTCAATGGGCTAACTGACTGGGAAGGCTCTGGGAATTTTACCTACATCTCCCCAAAAGGAAATAGTGTGGTGGACTATATTCTGATTCCCACTAAAATGACGCCCTACGTGGTTGAGTTTGACATAGGTGATCCTATGCTCAGTGACCATCTCCCTCTACACTGCAAACTTGTCTTTCCATCGAGAAAGACAGAACAGTTACCATATTTTTTGCTCTATAAGACTCACTTTTTCCCTCCTAAAAAGTAAGGGGAAATGTGTGTGCATCTTATGGAGCGAATGCAGGCTGCGCAGCTATCCCAGAAGCCAGAACAGCAAGAGGGATCGCTGCTTTCGCTGCGCAGCAATCCCTCTTGTTGTTCTGGCTTCTGAGATTCAGAATATTTTTTTTTTCTTGTTTTCCTCCTCCAAAAACTAGGTGCGTCTTGTGGTCTGGTGCGTCTTATAGAGCAAAAAATATGGTAGTCCACCCACCCCCCAGGAACTGAGACCCCAGCACTCAAGGATACCAGTTAACAATATCAAGTGTTGTGTGAAGGGCATTACAATGTCAGCATTATTCAGAGCTGGGTATTTTTTTTCTTAAAAGGTTGCTGTGGGGAGCTTCTCCTCCCCCAGTCAAGCAAGAAATGTATTGGCTTTATCTATTTTTCACTGCTCCTGAGAATTTGCCAAGCAACTCCGAGGAAGAGGTTTCCAAGTAAGATCTTAGGGTTCTTTCTCACCAGTTCACTCTGCCCTTTATTTATTTATTATTTATAAACCTCCCTTAATTAAAAATAATCGGGGCAGTAAACAACAAACGTAATCCAAAAATGGCCCGAAAGCCATAAAATGCAATAATAAAACCGTGTTGAAAGGCAGAATGGATTAACGCTGCATAAAAGAGTTCTCTCGCAAGTTCTTGTTTAAAGCCGTACTCCATCAATGGATGATAAAACAATTGCACTTATCAAAGGAGAAAGAAAATGGTGGTGAAATTCTCAGGGTTGGGGTGCAGGGTTTTTGCAGTGCTTACAGCTCCCCTGAGATGACCAAGGGGAGTTTGTGAGTGTCCATCCCTTCATTCCACAATCATATGACCAGTGGTCTGCACTCTGCAGTCTTCTGGTATTCCCATACTCCAGTTAAAGCTCCCCTTTTATGTTGTTTGGGTGCTTCTTCCTCACTTTCTTTAAAGCTTAATTTTATTTGTGACTTTGCTCACAAGGCTCCTCAGCATGAACCCCTGGCACTCTTATTTTGCTGAGACACCAAAATGTGCATTTATGCATAGAAATTAGCATATGCAAATTTTGGAACACATTTGTGCCCTGGGCCTTTGCTTGCAATACTCCTGAAAGGCACTAGCATATTTTATTGTAAGAAAACCAATTATTGCTGATAATATGGACTACCTGGAAGCTTTAAGTAGAAGTAAACCATGCATAGTTTTAGGTAGACTTAGACTGCAGTCCTATACACGACAGTAAGCTTCATTGGACAAGGCAGGACATACTTCTGAGTAGACATACATAGGATTGTATTGCTAGATAGGTCTATATAAACAGAAACACGAATGGAGAAGAGATGTGGAAAGCTGTTAGGTTAAATCCATAGAACAAGTAAATGTCAGGACGAAAGCAGACCCTAAGGATTTAGAGTTATTGCAATCTGGGCTGCACTATAAATTTAAAGCTTTCACCCAAAAAAGAATGCTCCGAATTGTGGTTTGTTGTGGGTGCTGAGAATTGCTAGGAGACCCCTATTCCGCTCGCAGGGCTTCAGTTCCCAAAGTTTATTGAAAAGAGAGATTGGCTGTTAAACTACTCTGAAAATTGTAGCTCTGTGAGGAGGAATAGGGGGTCTCCTAACAACTCTCAGCCCCCTTAGTAAACCACAGTTCCCATGATTCTCTGGGGGAACTATGGCTATTTAAAGTGGTATGATATAGTTTTTTATATGTAGTGCAGATGGGGGCTTAGTCTCCACACAATGTATCCTTCTCAGCCTTGTTGACACATTGATCCTGGTCCTAGGACTCAGCTAGATTGGTAAAGAAAAAGCATTTTGTAGGCATTTTACATGCAATATAACACTGTGAAACCAGTTGGCACTGTGGAGTTTCATTTTTGCCATCACGATTTCTCATTATAAAGGTTACAACACATTTTTCTGAAGCATTTCTTTGATGTGTCTAGATCCAGCCCAAGTCCAGCTCAATGTCATTTTCTGGTGTTAGCTTAGGTCCCATTGCTTTCAATTGGGCTCAGTGTTGACTAACATCAGCTGGGTCAAGAAAGCCTTGCTGCCTACCCATTGGCTGTAGCAGCAAAAAAATTGCATGTCTGGATCTGCCATCATATTTCAATCACTGCAGGCAGAACTTTTGTGTTATGTGTCAACTCAAATACAACTCTTTTCAGCGGGGACAGGTCACACGTCCCTATGAGAGTCAACTATCCATTAGACCTTAAGCAATGTGTGAATAATTCAATATTGCTCTATGACCTCCTTTCAAATGAAGCTCTTTAGAAATGAAATTCACTGGAGTAAAATCTCCATGTTGACTAGGTCTTCTTTTGTGTGCATCTTCTTCCTGCCCTGATCACGGCTGGAGGACCTTCCTTTAAACAGACTTCCTCCTCTTCCCAAACATGTTGTTGATTAGTTTGGCCATAGATTTTGACCCGCTAGGCCGCCTTTTCTCCTTCCCCTTAGCGTTTGAGGTGACATTCTTCAGGACTTTGGTGAACATGGCTGCCACTTCCTGACAATGTTCCGCCGCAGACAGTTCGCAGAATTGGCATTTGTAGTCCAGGGCCAACTTTTGCCCTTCCTCCCAGCCAACTTCACGCATATGGCACAAATCTTGCTTGTTCCCAACTAAAATGACAGTGGAGTCTGCAGCCCTGAGGGAGAGTTGAGGAGAGGAAAAACTCATAAAACACAAATTGTTGATCATTTTATTCTGATGCTGCTTATTATTGTTTATTTATTATTGCAGTTATATTCCCTCTATTCTCCAAGGATCTAAAGGTGGCATTAGGCTGAGACTTTGCCTGGCCCAAGTTCACCCAGTGAGTTTCATGACTGAGGAGGGATTTGAACCCTGGAATCCCAGGTTCTAGTCCAACACCAACCACTAAACCACAACGGCTTTCTATGTTACATAGTACCCTATGTAACATAGGGTAAAACAGCCCTGCGTCCTGTTTTACAGATCCTCTATCATGTGTCATTATTTATTTATTATTATTATTATTATTATTATTATTATTATTATTATTATTATTATTATTATTATTACAGTGGTACCTCTGTTATGAACTTAATTCATTCTGGAGGTCCATTCTTAACCTGAAACCGTTCTTTACCTGAGGTACCACTTTAGCTAATGGGGCCTCCCACTTTCACCGGTGCATGATTTCTGTTCTCATCCTGAGGTAAAGTTCTTAACCTGAGGTACTACTTCCGGGTTAGCGGAGTCTGTAACCCAAAGTGTTTGTAACCCAAGGTACCACTGTATTAATTTCTAAATGTGTTTATAAGCTAGCAGATGCAACTCTGTATGTCCTTCCTTTGATGATGCGTTTCCTCCATTTTTGGAATATGTAGGTAGTCATTATGCTGCATAGAAGTACTGCCTTTAGCTTATTTACACAGACCAGACAATTTGGTGGTGTTTTTACCAATACAATTTTAAGCCCCACTGATAATGGTTTTGCAAGGCAAAAGAAACAAATGAAGAACATGGTTCAGCTCATGTTTTGCATGCTGAATGTAAGAGATTAGGGCCTTACCTGCACTGCAAACCTATAGCAGAAATATCCTGCTTGAACTGATATAGATTCACTTAAAAAAATCTTAGGAAGTGTGGTTTGGCGAAATGCTTTAGATTTCTCCATTGTGATCCTTCTCCCACCCTCATATAACTCCATTTCATAGGGCTTCTTGGGAAAAAGGAATGACTGGATGCATTCAGACATGGGGATTATTGCATTAGTTCCCCTGGTTATACTGCTAGGACTACTGTCCTGACATCTAACCATCATTTTACAGTGTGTCACCTGTTGCATTATGGAACTGGCTTGATATACCCTCATGTCATGCTAAATTTCATTCATACCCAGTGGCCATGGTATGACACAACAGCAGACATCATGGGACATGTCTCCACTCTTCGGGTGCCTGCATGCTTCTGTTCCCACTGTGAAAACTATGGGAAAGTCCTATATGCCGGAACGGCACCACAGATTTCATTGCTTGGGTGGCAGTGGTGTGATCCACAAAAACAACAGGAAGATTACAGTGTAAAACACCCGTGATTTTCCAGGTTAACAGCATCGCAAGCAAATATTTTTTGGAAGTCGTTAACCTGAAAATGAGCACGAGATTTCTACCAGATTTGCAGAAGCGGCTCTTATGTCATGCGAAAGATTACATAAAGTGTGAAAAGGATGGGGATAAGGGAATCATAGATTTGGAGTTTGAAGGGACCACGAGGATCATACAGTCCAACTTCCTGCAGTGCAGGAATATCCTGCCCAATGTGGGGCTCAAACCCGTGACCCTAAGAATAAAGGGCTGTTTGAATGCAGCCCCTGTAGTACAGATATGTTCAACAGGATGGGAACTATAAGAACTAACAAGACTCTCTCATGGCTATCACAATCCTTTCAACAATCCCAGCTCCAGCCATTGATGGACTTACCTTTTGCAGCCCGACATGTGGCACTCTCGTATCCGGTACAGCAAGGCTTTCGCAAAGGCAAAGGAGGCTCTGTCACTGATTGCGTACACGACCACAAACCCATCTGCCCAGTGGAGCTCATCGGTGAGAGACAACTTCCCCCGTCGAGGCTGGAAGGTAACAGACCCATCGCATGAGAGGATGCATCAGCATAGCATACCATAGAAGAAGAGAAGAAGAGTTTGGATTTGATATCCCGCTTTATCACTACCTGAAGGAGTCTCAAAGTGGCTAACATTCTCCTTTCCCTTCCTCCCCCACAACAAACACTCTGTGAGGTGAGTGGAGCTGAGAGAAAAGTGTGACTAGCCCAAGGTCACCCAGCAGCTGCATGTGGAGGAGCGGGGACGCGAACCCGGTTCACCAGATTACGAGTCTACCGCTCTTAACCACTGCACCACACTCGCTCTCATAGAGCACCTTAATGACTGCAAGCGTTGAATTTTAGATACTTTGCCCTGGAAACTCTCACCTTTAAAAATAACCTATGAAAGCTACTTCTAGTGAAGTATGAGAAGCTGAGGTAAGCAGAACAAAGGGGGATACTGGGAGTGGCCACCGAGACCACATAACACCGGTCCTGAAGGACCAGCATTGGCTCCAAGTATGTTTCTGAGCCCAATTCAAAGTGTTGGTGCTAACCTTTAAAGCCCTCAATGGCCTCAGCCATTCATACCTGAAGGAGTGTCTCTACCCCCATCGTTCAGCCGGACACTGAGGTCCAGCTCCGAGGACCTTCTGGCGGTTCCCTCACTATGAGAATTGAGGTTACAGGGAACCAGGCAGAGGACCTTCTCAGTAGTGGCGTCCGCCCTGTGGAACACTCTCCCATCAGATGTCAAGGAAATAAACAACTATCTGACTTTTAAAAGACATCTGAAGGCAACCCTGTTTAGGGAAGTTTTTAATGTCTTCTCATGTTTTTAATATTCTCTTGAGAGCCACCCAGAGTGGCTGGGGAAACCCAGCCAAATGGGCGGTGTATAAATAATAAATTCTTCTTATTATTATTATTAGCATGTAAATATATATATAATCACAATAACTGCTTTGTTGGGCCAGACCAACTATCCATGTAAGTTCACATGAACCTTTGGTGCACACACCTATATGGTGTCAATTTACAGCCCAAGATTCTGTCTATAACAGGGGCAAACCAGCCCCCTGGGCTCTCCCCTGTTATTTGGTGTTCAGAAATATCACAACTAACTGGAACCTAAGTGGAACAGCCATTGACTGCACCATCCTCCAAGAATCAACTTAATTCCTTTTTATAAACAGCATGTGAACTTATTGCCATTGCAACACCACGTGGCAGTGAATTGCATAAGCAGATTATGGGCTATGGGATGCAAATGTGGATGCATTCATTAAAGAATTATTTGATCCCAGCCATTGGTTTCCACCAGCACCAACCCAACCCTCTCAATTATTTGCATCCCAGAAAGGAGCACGCAACCACAAACCACGTTTGGACCACTTTTTGAATCAAAATGGATTGACATCGAAGACATGAATCTTAATTAGGGGTTCAGTTTAGACCCATGGATCTCGCAGCCCCCTCTCCTGCACTTTATTTCCCAACATTACTTAAAAGACCTTCAGAGTGATGTGACGTGATGCAACATCGGAGCATGCTGTCAGCAGTGTTCTTTAACTTACCTGTGAACAAGGATCATATATTTCCAGGTTGATCGGCTTTCCTTCCAGACAAACGTGCTTTGTATAGATGCACTCTGTGAGACAAGAGAAGGAGGACACACATGATCATGAGTGTAAAAAACCACCCAAAAATAGATTTCCCACTGCTCATGTAAAGAAAACCCAGGATTCACATCCCTACTCAGTCACTCATGGAGCGACCTTAGGCCAATCACATTCTTTCAGCCTAACCTAGTTGTTGTGAGGATAAGACAGTGGGCAAGACAACCATTTATGCCACATTGAGTTCCTCAGGGTAAAGGTTGGCTATAAATGCCATTCATTCATTCATTCATCATTCATTCATTCATTCATTAATAAATAAAGTGGTATGAGTCAGCCTAGATAGCTCAGTTGGTTAAAGTGTGGATCTGATAATGTCAAGGTTGCAGGTTTCATTCCCTACTCCTGTGTTGCAGGTGGTTGGACTCAATGATCCTCAGGGTCCCTTCCAATTCTACAATTCTGTGATTCCGCTTTCAATGCATAATGCAGATGGGACCTAAGAGGCAAAGTAGATACAAATTTTCCAAGTTAGTGGAGGCTTACCAGAGTCAGAAGCATATTCTCCAATGAAGCGTCTGGTCAGAAAGCGTACTGTAAGGGCTACAATGAGAGAACAAAATGTGACATGAGAAATGATCTTCAGCCTGTTGGACAAACCCAAGACATTTTGCTGCCTGAGGCAGGACAGCAAATGCACAGTACCCACAAAATTGGCACTGAGACAGAAATTCCACAAGCATCTATTTCTGGAAATATAAATACAATAATAAATTATTTGCTTCTCATTTGTGACATATGTAGTTACCAGCAACAGACACTTCATTCTGGCCCAAAGTAGGGCCAGCCATGATGACACAAAAGTGTGGGCAGGCATTGATGACAACTAGGTTACGTGGACTTGTGTGCATCTGCAGGACACGTACTGCAATAAATCCCCATCTCCTTAAACCTCACGGATGGAGAAAGTTGGCTGCAACTAACAATTGCCTTTGTTTTCAATGAGACTTAGTTTTGCTGGAGCCTGGCCACAGAATGTACTGACACTTTCCTGGAAAAGGAGACAAAAGCAAGATGCTCCAGGCAGTTAATTGGTCCCTAGTGCTGAAGAGACCAACAATGGATCCCTGGAGAGGAAGGACTTGGTGCAGAAGAGGAAAGAATGGAGAGGCACTTTTTAGCACTCATGAACACCATTCAAGTCTGTCTTTTCTCCCTTGGTGGAATTCAAGATGGTTTAAGATGGAGAGCCCACTGAATCTCTCATCCAGGTACTCTTCGGACTGTGATCTGCTTTCACTTCCACAAGAGTGTTGCATCACTTGCCTTCAGACAATGTCCTGGGCACCTGCATACTCCCTGGGGCTTGTATTTCAAGTTTCAGTGTTAAGCTGAAACAGTAAAAGTGGGCAATGTGGTGAAATGGGAGACCAAAAAGCTCAAATGGCTGCTTAGCCATCAAGCTCAACAATGACCCTGGGCTCGTCACCATCTTCTGGCCCAACTTATTTCACAGGGATGTCATGCCCCTCTGAGCTCCTTGGAAGAAATGTTAAGAGGGAAATGTGACAAATAAAGAAGACTAGTCTCGCTAGTCAGCTGCACTGCAGAAATACCCTTGTGGCACATCTATCCTATGTCAGCAATCAGAAAATCAGATCTACTCCTCAAGCTAGAAGCACACTCAGCTCTGCCACCAATCATCTGGGACAATGCAGGACTCGGGTCTGCACAAAATAATTTGGAACAATAGCAGGACTCAAAGAATTGCAGAGTTGGAAGGGATACACTAGGGTCATCTAGCGTAATCTCCTGCAATGCAAGAATGACAGTTACAGACCCTGGCAGGTGGCCATCCAACTTCTGTTGGAAATAAAGGAGAGTTCACCACCTTCCAAGGTAGTCTGTCCCATTGTCAAGTCAGAAAGTTCTTCCTAATGTTTAGCCAGAATCTCCTTTCTTGTAACTTGAATCTATTGGTTCGGGTCCTAGTCTCTGGAGCAACAGCAAGCAAGCTTGCTGCATCTTCCATGTAACACATCCCTTCAGATAGCTGAAAATGGCTACCCTATCGTCTCATCATGTCTGCACAAAACAAGCTGGCAACATCAGCAATGGGGTTTCTCATGCCAAATTAGGATGATGTTGATGATGTTGATGATCATAGAATCATAGAATCATAGAGTTGGAAGAGACCACAAGGGCCATCGAGTCCAACCCCCTGCCAAGCAGGAAACACCATCAGAGCACTCCTGACATATGGTTGTCAAGCCCTCTGCTTAAAGACCTCCAAAGAAGGAGACTCCACCACACTCCTTGGCAGCAAATTCCACTGTCGAACAGCTCTTACTGTCAGGAAGTTCTTCCTAATGCTTAGGTGGAATCTTCTTTCTTGTAGTTTGGATCCATTGCTCCGTGTCCCGCTTCTCTGGAGCAGCAGAAAACAGCCTTTCTCCTCCTCTATGTGACATCCTTTTATATATTTGAACATGGCTATCATATCACCCTTAACCTCCTCTTCTCCAGGCTAAACATGCCCAGCTCCCTTAGCCGTTCCTCATAAGGCATCGTTTCCAGGCCTTTGACCATTTTGGTTGCCCTCCTCTGGACACGTTCCAGTTTGTCAGTGTCCTTCTTGAACTGTGGTGCCCAAAACTGGACACAGTACTCCAGGTGAGGTCTGACCAGAGCAGAATACAGTGGCACTATTACTTCCCTGGATCTAGATACTATACTCCTATTGATGCAGCCCAGAATTGCATTGGCTTTTTTAGCTGCCGCGTCACACTGTTGGCTCATGTCAAGTTTGTGGTCAACCAAGACTCCTAGATCCTTTTCACATGTACTGCTCTCAAGCCAGGTGTCACCCATCTTGTATTTGTGCCTCTCATTTTTTTTGCCCAAGTGCAATACTTTACATTTCTCCCTGTTAAAATTCATCTTGTTTGTTTTGGCCCAGTTCTCTAATCTGTCAAGGTCGTTTTGAAGTGTGATCCTGTCCTCTGGGGTGTTAGCCACCCCTCCCAGTTTGGTGTCATCTGCAAATTTGATCAGGATGCCCTTGAGTCCATCATCCAAGTCGTTGATAAAGATGTTGAATAAGACCGGGCCCAAGACAGAACCCTGTGGCACCCCACTAGTCACTCTTCTCCCACGCTTTTAATTAATGGCTCTACACTGGAGAGGTGCCACTGGGTGAATCCCAAATGCATCCTTAAGGAACCCCTGGAGCAATATTTGGGCTATTGCGAGTGAATAGCTTACAGATCTTAGTGCAAATCTGGATTTATAGACTCTAGAGTTAGTTTTGGAGAACATTGCCAATGGCATAGTTTTGGAAATTATTGGTCGGGAGAGGTGAGATATCAAAATGTCACATTTGGAAATTTGATGCACTGAGATGTCTGTGCATGTTAACTCTGAAGTTAAGTCTGTTTTAGATCAAATAGGCTCAAGTAAATATTCCTAAACTGACAGCATTAGAGAGTTTGTGCTTCTAAAAAAAAGGAGAAAGAAAATGTACCATTCAAAAAGTTGAACTTCCAATTTCAATTTTGCACTTTCAGATTCAGCTATTGGAATTTTCAGCTGTTTCAAACGCTGCTTTGCAAAATGAAATTTCAAATTGAAGACATCCCAGAATTCTGGACACACTCCCCCTCCTCACATGAGCTAAAGTGGCGAACTTTTATTCAACCAGTTCTCCTCCTGTGCCTGAAGAATGACATTTAGAACTTAAGCAGCCAACATTTTTCTAGGTACTGAAGATATACACTGGCAGAAGTTTCACTGCTCTATACAAAAGTGATGTTAAAGGCATAGCAGCAAGGTCTTGGCAGGAAAATGGCAACCATAAGTAGGTACTTTGAAAGAAGGGGATTTTTAATTTTTTAAAACATATAACATAAATAAATACAGATACTTTCTAGATACATATGTCAAAATGCTGTTAACAGGGCAGAAGCAGGGCCTGTGAAATGTTGGCAATTTGGATGAGGTATATGGAAATAATTTGATTTTCTTGCGCAAAATAAATAAAGACAGCTCTTGGACACATATCACTTGATCATATTTCAAAAGAATGGGAAACAAAATCTCTCTCTCTCTCTCTCTCACACACACACACACACACATATGCATCTCATCCTATAAACTTCGTGTAAACTTCAGATCATATCACAAACACACCAAGCAATCCCTCACCCCAGCCAAAAAAGCGTTGGGGGGGGGGGAGAGACAGGGAGAACTCCAGTAGTTTTTTTTTAAGTTACCCCAAAGTGCCTGTAGACCAATATACAACAGCAATTTAGGTAGCTAGAAAAGGGAGGTCAAACAGAAGGGAGCCTTACCAGATTTGCCTGTTCCTTCGCTGCCCAAAACTGCTACTTTCATTTCATTCATTCTTGAAAAAGCAACCCCGGCTGATTTTATTCAGGCACTTAAAGCGATCCGAACCACAAACTTCCACGCAGGGCAGATGCGCTCGCGGGGCCCCTCGTCTTTACGCACTTCGCCTACTTCCCTAGAGAGCAATTTGGAGCTGTTTGACCGCTGCCTGCAACTTCTTCTATTTAGCCTCATGGGCTGAGGACGTCAAGGGAGGGCGAACTGGGAGCATAATAAGGCAATGCAGTTCAAGAACCCGCCCACCCTTAGATGCCTGCGTTTTTCGTTTGTGTGTGTGTGTCTGTTTGGCAAGGAAAGGAACTGAGACATCTCTCCCATCTCCGTCCAAGCCTGTGATCACTCTCTCCTCTTTGCAACGGTATGAAACAGGCACAAAGCAAACAAGAACCTGCTCTGGTCAGTTTCCTCCCTGGCTGCTAAGAGGCGAGATGGATATTTCCTCAAATGACATAGGGAGAAGAAAGTGAAATGGAGTTTCATCCTGTGAAATTGACCTCCTTAATTTTTGAACGTCCCCTGAACTGGTGATTTCATTGTTTTAACTGGGTTGTGTTGTGTTTTGTTTTTTTAAAAAAACTATTTTAAATCTTTTTGTTTTGTTTTATAGAATTTATAGTGTGCTTGATTGTAAAAATAAAAATATAATAAAAACCCTCAAACTGGTTTATAAATAAGGACAAAAGTGTAAAATCATTGCTAGAAAGAATTAACAACAATAATTTAAAACAGACAACAAATAAAAATTCACAAGCTAAAGTCAGATTAAAGCACATATCAACATTCTACATAACTGGGTAGGCTTGTTTGAACAAAAGTGTTTTTATCGGGTGCTGAAAAAAGTACAGTGAAGCTGCCTGCCTAATATCATGGTTGCTTTATTGTATATTTTTGTAAAGGATGTTTTAATGTTATTGCATATTTTAATTATGTATTGATTTTATAGTTGTAAAGTACTTAGAAGGCATTTTGGCATATACATGGCATAATAATTAATCATATTATTAATAATTATAATTAATCAATTATAATTATAATAACTTGCCCATCATGTTATTTCCAGAGTTTCCCCTGCAAAAGCAACACTGTGCTTCCCTCCCTGGAGTTAGGAGAAGGAAGGGCAAATTCATAGAAGATGGGGTCTCCCAGTGGCTATTGATGGTTATATAGAACCTTTAGAGGCAGTATATCATTGAATTCCAGTTTGGGGATGGGTTTGGGAACAGCACAGTGTGGCTATTGCAGTCACGCTCTCCTCGTAAACTTCCCAGGGGCAGCTGGTTGGCCTCTGTGAGAAAGAGGGTGTTAGATTAGCAGCAGAACAAGCCACTATCTTCAATGGGGCTTACTTCCTAGTAACAACACAGTCCAGTAAAAGTCTTCTGAGAAGTCCCACTGAGTACAATAGAACACAAGGGTATTAGTTCAAGCTAGGAAACAGGGAGTAGTGATTTACTAGTCTGGCATGCAAGTTGGGCTTTTTTCCCATTACAAAAATAGAAAGATGTGTTTTACTCCCATTTCTGTAAGTTTTATTGTGTTGCACTGGGGTAAGGAAAATCATCTATAGGGCACGTTCAAATGTCTCTGGGGCCAGACAAAATAGGTGCAAAAATGAGTGCAGAAGTGGAAATACTTGCCACAGTAGCTCAGTGGTAGAGCACATTGTTTGCATTAAGAAATTGCCAAATTCAATTCCTGACACCTCCAAGTAGGGCAGGGAGAACCTTCCTTCCCAAACCCCTGAAGAGCCACTGATGGTAGACAATACCCAGGTAGATAGACTCATGATCCGACTTGGTATATGGCAGATGCTGTTGTTCCTGTGGATACTAGTTGCTGAGGAACAAGGATGGAAGAAGGCCCTGCATTCAGCAGAGGCTGGCCTGTCAGACCAAATGGCGATGCTGCCCCACCAACCTCAAACAACCCTCACCTGCGTGCCTTCTTCCTTACAGCCTGCCCAGACAATAGCACTGCCAATCAACTTCCTCCTCCTTCATCTCAGTGTTGCCATTGTATCACTCAGTATGGAGGAAGGTGTGTCGGGTGGACTAGAATTATATGGCTGACTTCTGCCCTGCACATCTCAAATAGACACCAGCCTCAACTGCTTCCATCCAAACTCTGCTTCTGGGCTTCCCAGAGAAATCTGGTGGACAAAGGATGCTGGATGAAGTGGGTGTATGGACTGATCCAGCAGCCTGTTTCTTCTCACTTTACGATGTCTTGTGTTTACTGGTATACTAGCCTGAAATGTAGCAAACCAGTGGCACTGGGATACACAGTCCTATGTGTCTTGGGACCTTAGGATGAGTTCCTCAGAAGAAAGTTCCTGTTCAGGAATTGACCTTCTGGAATAAATGGAGGCATTGTGTGTGTTTTGTTGCCATAGGGTTTATTTTTAGTATCAGAATGCTAACTCCTTTTTTTCTTTTTTTAGCTCCTGTGTTTTCACAGTTACACACTGCACTGTGAAAAAAGCAGACCACAGAAGTGGGGGCACTGCCTGGAATTGTAACTTTTGCCCTTTGGCTTAGCTAGCTAAACATTGCGATTCTCTCACCGCAAAGGAAGCATTTAATAAAAGCAAAAAAGAGAGGAAAGGGTGACTTGAAGACTATGCTGACCAGGAGGTTTATTTATTTTGCATTCCAGCCATGGGGCTAGTCAGCTTCAGAAACCCAAGTGGAAAACTGTTCCTCACAAATGAGGACTGGGAAAACCAGGCATACTTCAGTGTGAGCTATCAGCATCTAGCCTAGAATGTGGGTGGCCGGATGCAAAAGACGACTGGGCTCCTACATCTTTAATAAGAACATACCTGGAGCAATGTTCTGTTTCCATCAGCAGACAACCAGATGCCTCTGAGAACTCACTAAGGAGGCCATGTGGTCATTAGCACTCTTCTCCTGTTCTTTCATAGCAACTGCAATTCAGAAGTATGGTGCCTGGGATTCTGGACACAACACACAGCCGTTGTGACTAGCAGTCACTGATAGCCTTATCCAATTGTTTAATCCCCCTTTAATAACCATCTCAGTTGGTGGCAATTACCACATCTTGTGGAAGTGAACCCACCAATTTAGGGCCTAGGCTAGAACAAAAATAAATTAGAACATAAGGAAATGATGGGTGGCAGAGGCATTGCATTCAACAATTATACAATCAGTGGTCCTCTTCAGATGACCTAGAAATTAAGCCTCCATTCTGATTTTCTTGCACAAAGCTTATGTTGTACAGTGGAACCTTGGTTGTTGAACGTAATCTGTTCTGGAAGACAGTTTGACTTCCAAAACGTTCGACAACCGAGATGCAATTGCTGGTCGGCAAAATTCATTGGAAAAATGGAGAAGTGTGCCCCAGAAGCCGTTCGGAAACAGCATTCACTTCTGGGTTGTCGGTGTTTGGGTTCCAAATTGTTCAGCTTCCGAAGCATTTGACAACCAAGGTTCCACTGTACAGTAGTTAATTCCAGCTTGTATTGAGATGTGTAAATGCCGTGCAAGTAAATCCAGATGAGTGCTCAAAATTGTGCGGTCTGCCAAGTGATGTAGATGATAACCTCTGGACCCCAAGTATTTGGTGCAGTTCAGGGAACACAGCAGTGCTGCTGTGCATGGGAAAGATATAAGTTGCACATGATCTGAGGGGGGAGAGCTACTGCTGAGAAGAAGCCAGGCTGAACGAGAAAGTGAGTTGAGGGAGGAGTTAGCAGCCAGCAGCCTTCAACTGTGGTTCAATGCAGCTTCTGGGAGCTTGTGACCAAGAGCTCGCAAACAGGACTTGCAAACAGGGGTGTTAGCGAGGGAGTTTGGCATGGGAGCTTAAGGGAGAGGCCTAGAGTAATGTCTCATGGTGTGCATAGGACCAAGAGACATGGAGGGCGAGGGAATGATCTGCAACACCTGTGCCTGGAACTTAGCCCAGTAGCTAACTCAATCCCTGGCATCTCCAGTTGAAAGGACCAGGTAAGAGATGATGTGCAAATGGTGTCCATCTGAGACCCTGGAAAGCCATTGCAAACATCTGCTCTGCCATGTAGAAGGTGCCAGTTTAATCCCTGGCATCACCAGCCAAGGTCTGGGAAAGAACCACAACCAGAGTGAACAATGTACTGATGGTCTCAACCAGTATAACACAGCTTTGTATGTTCAGCTAAGCCTGCTGTGGGTTTTTCTGTCACCACTGACCTGGCAATCCTACAGGGACTGTAAAAATCTCACAACAGCTGGCAGGGGGTGAGCTTCAAATATTGATTTGGACTAACCAGCCAGTTATTCAGCTGCAGGCTTCTAGATACTACAGAATGTTGAATCCATATGGGTTTTGTTGAGAGGATTTCTCCCTCCTGCTCACAGACTTTTTTTCAAACTCCAAATTGAATTTTGTTTTTGTTTTTCCCCCATTGGGGATGTAATTTTGTTTTTCACGTGCCTGAACCTCAGAGACTATTTGTCCTTCACTTTGAGTATAAAAATGTTGTTCCAGAGAAGTGGCCCTAGCTCAGGCTTGAAGAAACTTAGGTGTTCAGAAGTTGTTAGACTACAATTCCCATCGGCCTCAGCAAAGGATGATGGGTATGGTAGCCCAACAACATAAGGAAGGCCACAGATTCCCCATCCGTGTTCTATGCCATGGGTGCCACTTAGGCTTCTGGTGGCAAAGGTGAATCTTTTAGCATCCCTTAATTGCAATCCTGATCCTAATCGTGTCCCATCAGCTACTGCTGAACTTCAACTCCCATGAGCTCCAGCAAGCATGGCCAATGGCCCCCAATGATGGATGTTGTAGTTCAGCAACATCTGGAGGGCCTGCCCTAGATGAAAGGTAACATTCAAGCAAGGTTTATAGCTGGCCACATGACATTGTCCACAGTGATGTGCTGAGTACAGAGGAGTTTCTTTCCTCCTTCTCAGTCATCATAGTTCTTGTCAGTTTGCGCATAAAACACCGCCTGGGGTTTCAAAGTTGCATCGTCAGCCCTTTGGGATGTTTAGAAGTGGAATGAAAATGCTTCTATTTTGGCCTTCTGCATCTTCTGTCCTTTGGTTTAAAAAAACCCATGTTTAGAACCTGGCTGACATTTTGATGCATGATTGACACTGTGCAGCTCACTTTTCTGTAACTATTCTGGCTCTGTAAAGTAACAGTGTCCCATAAAGCCGGCTGAAGATCATGGTTTGCTATTTTAAAAGGTGGTGCTGTGTGCAAGTTTACCTTATATCTTCATAAGTGGAAGGGAGGGAGAAAAGAAGGGAGGGAGGAGTCCGGAATGTCCCTAATAGTGTTACTAGACTTGACCATCAACTCAGGGATGCTACAGAAAATAATGCT